TGGAGTGGCAAGGGGCAAGTCGCAGGAGGAAGGCCTGGGCCAAGTGCCGCAGCTCCTGGCAGGCGTCGGAGACGGAGGATCTGTCCACAGAAGCGACGACGCAGGACGAGGACGAGGACGACGAGGAGGACCTCTCCGGCACGAAGCTGCCGGCGACGGCGGGAAGAGGTCGGTGCGCCGGGCCGAGCTGCAGGGACAGGGGGTCAGGGGCTGGCAGGCTGGGGAAAGCCTGTGCGCGCTGGGCGCCTGTTGTGAGTTCTGGGAGATCCTTGGTTCTTGATAGGCCTAGGGATTGGGAACACTTGTGACCTTTAAACGTGCGCACTAGACGGGACGTTTCCCGCGTGAACAAACGCACTCGGATGGCTGATTTCCTTCGGGCGGACACTGAGACACCCTGCTTGGGCTGCATTTTGCCCCCAGTAGAGTTTTCTACGAGGGAGTGTCCAGGGTGACCCCACCGTGGGAGTCCCTCTGGGGTCGGTAACGAGCTCTCTCTCTCTCTTGCTCTACCCGCAGGAAACGTGCCCAACGAGAAGATCGCGATATGGCTCAAGGACTGCCGGTGAGTTCTGTCTGGCTCACGCAGCCTGGGTCCCCGAGCAGCGAGAGCCGCGCAGATGGGACGCCTGAGCTCGGTGACTCGGCCGCGTCCCAGTGGGTCCCGTGGCTGTTGTAAGCTCTAAACCGGAAAGCGAGCCAGCGGATAGCTTCCTCCTTTAAGCGATTAGAAATGGAAGTACTGTGACCGCTGATTATTTCGTGACCGTGTTGACTACGGCTACGGGGACCTCAGCCCCTCGTGCTTGATGTTAGCATCAGAGATCAGAAACCTAAAACCGTGTTAAATTTGCTCTGTTGTCATTTGAAAGAAACTTCACATTTCGCAGGGTAATTTATTTTAGTTTTGTTTTGGCATCTGTACATCTGGCATCAGATCATTTTCCTTTCAAATGTGCTTTAGAGGAGTTTAATTTATTTAACTACTTTAACGGGACTCTAATTTTATTTCTATGCCATATTTCTGTTTGGGGAAGCTATTAAAACCAGCTAACTTTGTACTTTACTGCCTGGACATGGATTTGTCAGAAGGCACTGGAATTCACAGAGAGAAAAGGGAGAGCTTTGAAGGCATTCAGACTGCATAAATCTATTTAATTACATGTTTGGCAACTGGTACAGAAATGTTTGATAAAATACAGAGGGGATGAATTATACTGCTAGTAAATCTGACTTCAGTAACATGTATTGGTTTCGTATTTTAATTATTTTTTTTCTGCTTTATTAGCTAGTTGTAAAATCTTGTATGAAGAATGTAGTTTTTAAACTTTTGTTGCTGTTAGCATCTGAGCATATTTTGGCCTTCTCAATTTAGGTTTTTCTTAACATTTCATTCAAGTATCAGGGTTAGGGAAGTTTTTGTTTTGGAAAGTGATTCTCATATATGCCAACTTATTTTTCTCCCATGAAGACAGATAAAGTATTGGCCACCACTATATTAATACTCTGTTTTGATGAATTGCCTGGAGACTTACTGGACACACTTCAGGACAGAACTTCTTAACCTTTATTGGGAATGTCTGAGACCAAGACATATTTGGCCCTTCTCTTTGAAGAAAAGATACTCTGTCCTGGAACCCCAGATGAATAATCTAGCTGTAAATCTACCCTTTTGATTTTCAAATTAGTAGAATGTGGCCTTAGGTTTTAGGTGCTGCTTGGATCATGAAGTTATAATACGATATGACTGATTTGTTATTTACACATGCTGTAAAATTTAAAAGGTTCAATTAAAAACAGGTTTTTTTTCTTTTTTTTTTTAAAGTTTATTTTTTCCCATTGGGAGTGTCTCCAATAGGGTCCTCAAGCTGCAGTTCTACCCCAGCCTTAACCAGCTAGGGTTCAGAACACTTGCACTCTCCCCGTGTGCCCATGCGGACCTCAGACCTCAAGCCAGGACCTTCCCATATGGCTTCAGCATTGCAGAGCTTTGTAATACCATGTGCCATCGAGGCTGGCCATGAAATTTTCAATAAACATCATGGGGACCTTTCTTTTTTTTAAGAGAGGTTTTTTGGTTTTGTTTTGTTTTTCCACTTAAGTAAAAAATAAACAGTTATCAAAATTCAGACTCATTTTAAAGAAAATATGTTAGGATATATGTGTGTGTGCTTGCTAGAGAGATAGACGGAAGGAGAAGGAGAAATCACCCCCTGGGGGGATGGCTATGTTGCAGTCCCTTCTCCTCCATTCTCCTCTCTGTATCTTGGGCATGCACTCACGTGTGCCTGACCTGAGATTTAAGCCACTGGGTTCGGGGCTTGAACCATGGTCGACGATTTGGGAGTCCAGTAATAACAACCATTACGCCATCTGCTGGTCTCCATGGGGACCTTTTAAAAAGAGATTTTGTGAAACTACTATCTTTCACGTTTCTGATTAGGAATTTATCTAATGAGGCTGATATGCTACTTTTACTAAGATCTTTGAAAACGTTCAATCTCAGTCCTGATTGAAATACATCCTAAGTACAGTATTGACTTACTTTTGAGATCTCAAAATAAATTGGTAGTGTTTTATTGTTTAAATTCAAGTGTATATTCCAAAGGATTTTTAAAAATTTATGAGCAGAATAATCACATCTTCATTTTTTAAAGTATAGGAATTGAGATTATTAAGAGATCATGTCAAGGAATCAGTAAATAAATGTCTCTTTAAGATAAATGCAGATGATATGGTGATTAAGATGCTGGACTCCCATGTGACCGACTACGGTTTGATTCCTGGACCTGGCAGCTTGCTTTCTCACTTTCTCTCTTTCTCTCTCTCTGGTGAGTGCATGTGCCATATAGCAAAATTTAAAATAATAATAATAAAGATAATAAAATAAGAGTAACTAGAAAAGAAAGATAAATGCAGTAAGCAAGTGTTGACTGCTGTTTGCTAGGACATAGTTATCCCTGAGAATTCTGAGAGTTTTGTTGCTAATCATGATTTACATGGGGCAGATTCTGTATTCTGGGTCTCTGTCTCTCGTAAGTTTTCTTCTGTTTCCTACAACTACACTTATTCTATACAAAAGCGGCATTTATACGTGCAAAGGAAAGCTAGAACAAGTAGTCTTTTTCTTTTTTCAGAGAGAGATTTTTGCTGTAGGGTGTGTGTGCACTTGATGGAGAGACAGAAAGCATGGAATCACCCCCCAGAGAGAAGGCCACACCATAATTCCTTCTCCTCTATTCTCCTCTCAGAATCTTGGGCATGCATGTGTACCCATGTGACCAATGTGGGTTTTTTTTGTTTTTTTTTTTGAGAGGTTTTTGCTATAGGGCGTGTGCGCTCGCCAGACAGACAGAGAGAGACAGAGAGACAGAAAGCAAGAAATCCCCCCCCACTGGGGGGGGGGCGGGATGGCCATGCCGCAATCCCTTCTCCTCCATTCTCCTCTCAGGATCTTGGGCACGCACGCACATGCGCCCGGCGTGAGTTTAAGCCACCAGGTCCAGGACTCGAGCTGCAGTCGACCACATGGGAGTCCAGCGGCACAGCCATTACGCTAACTGCTGGTTCCAGTGACCAATATGTTTTAAGCCACCAAGTCTGGGACTCAAACAGTGGTCAATTACATGCGAGTCCAGCAATGTAATCATTCTGCCATCTGCTGGTCCCACAAGTAGTCTTTTAAATAATTGATTGTGTTACCATAGATTTGACTGCTAGGATATGTATGACTCCTTTTTTTTTTTTTTTTTAAGAGCAACTTAAGTTTCTGCACAGAGTTAGGCACCTGTGTGTTTTGTGAATTATGTACAAGTGACCTCAAGACCACAGCATTTTTCCTATTTGATAAGTTTTCAGATATTCCTTTCTTTTTTCTTATTGCTGTCTATATCCTGACATATTTTCTTCTTTAAAATGAGTCTGAATTTTGATAACTATATTTATTTTGTAACTAAGTGGAAAAAATTTTCTTGACATAGTGTCTAGGAAAGGATAGAGGTTTTGGTAGAATTTGGAGGGCAATAACTGAAAGTGAGAGATTTTTTTTGAAGGAGATTTTTACTCCTACTTATACTCTCTTAACCTTTCATTTGTTGTTAGCATACTGAAAGTGACAGCGAGTCGGACTGTGGATACATAATAGAAATAATAGTTTGGTCTAAGTAAGAAAGCAGCCATAGGGGAAGAAGATTGACTTTTGAAAAGCATTGGTTACTTTATTGAAATACATACAAAAATGTAGCTTAAAGGTTTTATTTAATATCTTTATGGTAACTGCTTGTAATTCCTTTTACATTGTATAAGCACTAGTTTTCAAATAATTGCCCTTACTTGTATATTTGCTTCCAGACAGTTTTAACATTTAATTGGTTTTTAGTAATATTTCTTTGAAACTGATATTTTTGTGATGAATCCCCTGTCTGTTGCTCATTTGTAGCAGGTACCAGTTGTTACTGAAGAAAGTTTTGTATCACAAAATAGAACTTTCAGAATAAGGCAGTGTAGTCCTTATTATAGCTTAATTTTGAGAAAATGAAAAGATTTGTGAATTTGAAAACAAATTTCTGAGCCATCTCTGTTTGAACTGTTAAGAATGTGAAAAAGTTTTAGCAATGGCTAATGTTTTTTAGTTTGCTTTTTTTTTTGGCTCCCTTATTCATGATAGAGCTCATGAATGTGAGAATGCGAGAGTGAAAGGGGAGCACCCTCCCCAGGGTCTGATCACACCGTGATCACCGTCCTCTAGCCTGTCAATTACTGGGCATTCGCATGTGTCCCAGCGTGTTTCAGGCTGACCTGGCTGGGGGATTCAAGTCCTGGTCGCCACATAGGATCCGCGCCTGTCTTGAGCAGTGCATTACTGCTGTGCCATGGAATAGCTAATTCTTCATGTTGATTCTCAAGTTAACTTTTCAGTAATTTTCAGAGTTAAATGAAGAATATGTGTGTTTTTTTGTTGGAAAGCAGAAAATGAATCTTGTGTCTGCACTTGTATATATAAAAAAGATAGTTGTTGGGGGTGAGAAAGGCACTAGGTAGTGTGTAAAATGTTGATGATAGATAATAGGCTAGGATTAGGAAAACTGTCGGGACCAGCAGTTGGCGTAATGGCTATGTCGCTGGACTCTAATGTAGTCGACTGTGGTTCGAGTCCTGGACTCTGTGGCTTAAACTCATGCTAAGCATATGTCCATGTGTGCCCAAGATCCCGAGAGGAGAATGGAGGAGAAGGAATTGTGGCATGGCCATCCCCCTGGGGGGTGATTTCTCGCTTTCTGTCTCTCTGTCTCTCTCTGTCTTTCTGGTGAGCGCATGCACCCTATAGCAAAAACCTCCCCCCCCACACAAGAAAAAGGAAAACTGTCAAGCCTCATTTCTACATAGCCTCTTAACATTTTAGTTTTATGAAGGTTAAGTTACTACTATAAAGATTTATTTTCTTCTGTTTGTTTTCTGCTTCTACAGAAGGGATTGAGAGAAGAAAATATGTTTTTAATGCCCATTGCCATTCTCTTTTTTCTTTACTTTGCAGAGAAAATGCCAGTTTATACCACTGGTAATTGCCATTCTTGCTCTTAATTGCTGGCAGATCAGACATGTGATTAACTCATTTCTGGTGAAATGACTTCACTGATAGGTATTTACTTAGTTAATAGGCTATTGGTTATATAATTCACTCGCATTCCTCTTGTGTTTTGGGAGGAGAGTTAAAATGTGATTAGAAGCTTGCTTAGCTCTAACTCTAAGTAAGGTTGCGTAGTGACAGCTTTCCAGACTTCTTGTCACAGACTAAGGTCTATATATTCATGTGGTTTCAGTACGCCTTTGGGAGCCTCACTGGATGAGCAAAGCAGTAGTACGCTCAAGGGTAAGAAGACGTTTGCCTTTCTAAATCTGTTCTTTGTGAGGGTCCTACTTCATTTATCTGGTGGGTGAAAGTGTATATATGAATTAAAACAGTGATGTCTATATTTATAAAATATGTTGCTCTGAACTAGAAGCCAAAAGGGATAAACCTTATCCTACACCATAAAACAGTGGTGAGTTTAAGCAAGTTGCCAACATTTTCCACAACGTGATACTAATTTTTATTGTCTAGTTAGATATTATAGACTAACCAAATACAGAAATATTATATATGTATAAATAAAAGGAGAACATACATTGAGTGAACCAGGTCAATGAAGTTAGTGCAGCATTTCTTTGCTTACATTAACTGAAATTGCCACACCTGAAATTTTACCACCTGTACAAGACAGAATTCTAAAGTTCAAAGTACAACAAGAATGTGCAGGTAGTGGCAAAGTATTTTAAAAGCATTTACACTGTAAGGAGAATCTAGCTTGAGCTCCTGACTTAATATAAAGTGGGTAAGAGGAATGATCGCTTCAGGATCTGGTTTTCATGAACCTCTCTGGTACGATACCTTATCTTACCGAACATCTTCAAAAATATAAAGTAAAATACCCCAGAGATCGGCTTCTGAGAATGTAACCTGACTGCAAACACCGTTTCTTTAAGGTAAAGTAAAAGCTTATACTTGCATCTTAAAATGACATAATCAAAATAATTTGTAGGTACATTCAGATCTGACATTGACTGTCAATTTTTTTGAACTAAAAGAATGATTTCATATGGGAGTGGGGGAAGAACAGAACACCAGGTTAAACTTTCTGAGTTTTCAAATGTTTCTTTCAGGTGTGCTCACGAGAAATGGAGGAAGTTTTGAAGATGATTTGTCATTGGGAGCTGAAGGTATTTTGTTTAGAAGAATTATATTTTCGTATAGTTTTTAAATTTAAAAAAAAATGAGAAAGTTGAATACTTTCAGGTTTATGATTCCCAGAATGAAATTTAAAGTTCTTAAAAATGGCTCAGACACATTTCACAGTTCTTTCTTTCAATGTAAATAATTGAATCATAGACTATAAAGTACTTGTACGATGGCTCTAAAAACCCACTGCGAAATGTTCATATGTCTTCCTTGGGCTTAAATGCTGAAAGAAACTGTTTGCCATGAGTTGTGATGATATAACCGAGGGAAGAATTGTTCTGGAGAAGGAAGGAAGCTTAAATATTTATACATGAGAAAACTAAATTGAAGCTTATTTTTAGTGTGAAGTAGACTTAGACTTAGGTCATTCTTACAGTTGCAGCTTGTCCTTTGCATTTAAGTGTCTCCTGTGGTTCTCTCCTTTGCTTTTTCCTGATTTTTAGAAGGTTATAGGACAAAAGCAAAATAGAGTTAGTAGAATTTCATTAGATGTCCTTACGCTGTTGTCTGTTCCAAACCGCATTATCGTTTTAAGAGTATGTTGTGCTTTTGTGGGTTCTATAATGCTTTCCTCTGGATTCATACTAAAGTTTCTACTGCATAAAATGAAGGATTCCTTATTATATTATTGGTGTTTTAAAAGTTATAGTGTAGCTCATTGATTGTGTTTTATTTCATCCCATTGACTAGGGTATTGGTACCTGAGTAGCTCACTTATTGATGTGTGCTTTTTAAAAGAAAAAACTAAAAATAGTCTTAAATCTCTAAAAACTGTAGGTTGACAAATAGTAAATTTATCCATTGAATTTAATATCCTTGTTCTTTTGCTATCTTAAATCTGTCTGTAGGAAAGATTGCTATTACTCATCTACAGCCTCCTAAAATTGAAAGTGAAATATGTGAATATGCCTGTTTGTAGTATTTCTGTTTCTTTATTTTCATAGAATAAATTCTAAAGAGCTTGAGCCTTTTGCTTCCAATCATTACAGTTGAATATGTTGTCAATCCCTTATTAAAAGTGCATTTTAGTATTACTGTAAAGGGCAGTTCTAACATCTTACTGGTAATTTTATAATATTGAATGATTCTACTGAAAACCAGACCTATTAAAAAAAAGGGAAACTATTATGTTATTTTACTGAAAATTAGTTCAATGCAATTTCCATTAATTGAGTAAATATTTACAGAGTGTTATGTGTTAAGATACCTCCTTGGTAAACAAAGAAACCAAAAATTTGCATATCAGAAATTAAGAAAAAAAGCATACTGAAATAAATATGTTTACAATAAATTCCATTTTCTGTATTTACGTATGAAAGTTAAATATAGTAAATTTAACTCACTTTATAAACATTAACATATATCTGTTTAGAATGTATTAATCTAAGATAAAGTTGGAAGGCAGTTTTTATAAAAAAATTTATGTTGAAATTAGCAGAAATTGAGGCCAGCGTATGACATGGTGGTTAAGGGCACTGGACTCCCACATGGCCAACCACAGTTCAGATCCCAGACCTGGCAGCTTGCTATCTCATCTCCCCTACCTGCTCTGTCCCTCTCTGGTTGGATTAAAAAATAATAAATAAACGAATAAATTAAATTAAATAATTCTCTAAAAATATATTTCGAAAAATTAGTAGAAATTTTCAAGTTATTTACATTGAAAAAAGCTTTAGAAATTAATGTATACCATTTCCACACTTTAAATGATGCAAAATCATGTTTTCCTCTTAAGCTGTTCTATGTTAGCAGCTTTTAAATTTAATAAGTAGAACCACATATTCCACATATATCCTGCAGGTCTATCTCATAACTCTAACTAGTTAAACATGGAAATTTAATTGCTTATCTGTAGGTTTTTTTTTTTTTTTTTTTTTTTCATTTTGAACAAGTAGCATAGTTCTGCATTGCCAAAAAACCAAACCCTCCCCTCTAAAAGTTACTAGTCCTGTTTTTAGCAATCTGTTTATTCCTCATCCTCCTTTTTAGGTTTTTGCATTAGGACACATGTGCTCACTGGAGAAAGGGACAGAGAGAGAGGGAAAGTGAGAAATCACCCCCAAAGGGGATGCATGCCACAATCCCTTCTCCTTTCAGGATTTTGGGCACACATCCATGCTTACCCAATGTGATTTTCAAGCTGACCGGTCCAGGACTCAAACCACTGTCAGTCACATGGGAGTCTGGTGTCTTAAGCACCACACTACCTGCTGGCCTCCGTATGTTACTATTAATGATGTAGATTTAACGAAGCAAGAGAAGAGTTAGGCTTAGGCAGTTAGCCATCGTATTCTAGGTAATTTGCATTCTTGATATTATATTCTAGTAGTTATGGGGCTACTAACTGTTGTGCTCTCTATCTCTTCTTTTTATCTGTAGCCAACCATCTCCATGAAAGTAATGCTCAAATTGAAAACTGGTATGTGGCTGTTTTCTCCTGTTTCTTTGTAAAAATGAAGACTATTAATGAAAATCAAGTTTTAATAATGTGATTGTGCTTCTAGCAATAACATATTGGCTAAAGAGCGAAGACTACAGTTTCATCAGAAAGGGAGAAGTATGAATTCCACTGGATCTGGGAAAAGTAGTGGGACAGTCTCAAGGTAATTTATTCTGCAGTTAAGGTAGAAATACATTGTGTTATTGATGACCTAGTTTTATCCTTTTTCATTCTTGAATTTATCCTTGATGGTGGAAAGCCAAAAGAGACTCTGCGTTTCCTTGGCCAGCATAACAGGCTTTTCTTAAAATTGAGATGAAATAAAAACACCTAATCTGTTTATAATGTTGCTGGAATCTATTGATGAGTGTTGTTGAGCCCTCTCACCTCCATTGTGAATAATTTCTACTTGTCGATAACGAAAATTCTCTGTTTTGTTGGGGATTCAAGTGACTCTAACATAAAAATCAGTAAGCTTTTCTAATTTAAAAATCGGTATTTAAGCATACATTTCTTTCCCACATATTAAGCCAGAAATCTTGAAAATGTATTTCAAAATAAGCCAATGTACTTGCCTATGGGATCATCTTAAACTACTATCCAAATTATTGTATTCAATAATTTATTAATAGGCCAGCAGGTAGTGTGGTGCTTAAGACACCAGACTCCCATGTGACTGACAGTGGTTTGAGTCCTGGACCGGTCAGCTTGAAAATCACATTGGGTAAGCATGGATGTGTGCCCAAAATCCTGAAAGGAGAAGGGATTGTGGCATGCATCCCCTTTGGGGGTGATTTCTCACTTTCCCTCTCTCTCTGTCCCTTTCTCCAGTGAGCACATGTGTCCTAATGCAAAAACCTAAAAAGGAGGATGAGGAATAAACAAATTGAAATGTCCTTCTGTCCAAGTTCTACCCTAACTTTACTATTTTGTTCAGTAAGTCATAGAGCCTTGGATGATCACTGTTACAAGAAGGAAGAGAAAAATAAATGGTGAATTCCCAATATAATTAGGGGAAAAGGTTACCTTAGTGTAACCTGTGCTCTCTTTACCTTACTCCTCCTACTTCCTAAGTAGAAGTGGGTAGTGAAAAGTTGAAAGTAAGCTCCTCCCTAATTTTTCTGAGATCTGGTTGTTTTCTTTATTGCCTCCCTTAGCAAAATTAAAAATTTGAAGAATGTCCCTTAGCACCAAAGTCCTACCAACTTCTTAATGTGTTTACCCTTTTTATGTCTTCTTTAATCTGTTTATTTCTTTTTTTTTTTTTTTTTTTTTGTAGAGATTTTTGCTATAGGCCGCGTGCGCTCGCCAGACAGACAGAGAGAGACATAGAGACAGAGAGCGAGAAATCACCCCCCAGGGGGGATGGTCACGCCGCAATCCCTTCTCCTCCATTCTCCTTTTGGGATCTTGGGCACGCACGCACACGCGCCCGGCGTGAGTTGTAAGCCACCGGGTCCGGGACGCGAACTGCGGTCGACTACGTGGGAGTCTAGCGACATAGCCATTACGCTAACTGCTGGTTCCCAATCTGTTTATTTCTTATTCTCCCTCAACTGTCCTCCAATTCTTCTAGCTGCTTTACTGGGAATCTCTTAAAATGATAAAAACAATAAGGTGAGGAGTCACTGGGAAAGTCTCTTGAGTGGTTTTTAGGAGTTAGCTCTTTTTTCCAACACTGGCAACTTAGGAGAACAGACCCTTTCTAAAGGCTATATTTCCCTTTAGTTCATTAAGTGTAAAGGTACTGAAATAAATCATAGTTTAAAGAGCAGAAGCTGAGGGGAAAAAAAAAAGAAAGCAAGAACATGCATTCATTTATAATAGGATGAAGACTATAATTTATTATGATTTTTTCCTTTCTATTTGTAGTGTTTCAGAATTGTTGGAGCTTTATGAGGAGGATCCTGAAGAAATTCTTTATAATCTTGGATTTGGACGAGATGAACCAGATATTGCTTCTAAAATTCCTTCCAGGTTTTTTAATTCATCATCATTTGCCAGAGGGATAGATATTAAAGTATTTTTGAGTGCTCAAATGCAACGGATGGAAGTGGAGAATCCAAATTATGCTCTAACAAGTAAGGTTTTTTAAGTATTAGCATATTTTTTAAACGTATGGCATCATAGGAAAATGCTCTTATTGTTAAAGCCTCACTAATTTGTGGAGTAGCTCTGGAAAGTTAATTAATAATGTGAATGAACAAAATAGCTATTTTACTTACTCTGAATTTTTATTATTCCATTATTCTATTCATAGAAGTTAATTGACCTGTTTTCCTTATCCTCAATTCTTGACTCATTTAATAGTTTCCATTACTTGCAGAAACTTAAAGTTCTCTCCATATCGTGTTTGTTCAAGAAGGAAAAAAAGGGGGAAGGGAACTTGTTAACATTAAATGAAGTCAGTGAATTTTAGGTGCCATTCTGTAAATCTAAAATAGTATGGCTAAATGATTATTTTTACTGATACTATATCTCTCCTTATGTTTTTCCTATTGAACAGAGGTTCTAAAAATGGAGATAATAGTTTGTTCATTGATCACTTTTAAGAGGTCTGTAACATTCCTCCCACCCCAGTAGATTTTTGTACATTTTCTCAAGGGAGCATTTGAAAGAGTCTTGAGAAAGCCTAAGACCTAAAAACAGAAAATCACAGCTATAGATCAGTAGTTAGTTCTTTTTGTTTTATTCAGTCATCATGCTTTGTGCTTATTTCTGATGCTTAAAAATATAAATTCTATGGGATCAACAGATGGCATAATGGTTATGCTGCTAGACTTCCGTATGACCAACCTTGGTTAGAGTCCTGGACCCAGAATCTTGAAATTCTTGCTGGGCACAAATGAATGTGTGCCCAAGATCCTGAAAGGAAATGGAGAAGGACTTGTGGCATGGCTCTCTTCTCGGGGGGGTGGTGATTTCTGCATTCTTTATCTCTCTGGCAAGTGCAAAAATCTCTCTTAAAAAAAATGTAAATTTTAGTGTTTAGCATAAAAATGTTTTGGGGACAACAAATTTTCTTGGGGACCAGAAGTTGGTGTGATGGTTAGTTACATCACTGGACTCCTGCATAGTCTACTGAGGTTTGAGTTACAGACCTGGCGGCTTAAAACTCACGGCAGGCATTTATGCTCATGGGTGCCCAAGAACCATAGAGGAGAATGGAAGATAAAGGACTGTGATGTGGCTAAACCCCCGGGGGGGGGGTCCCCCTAAAAACTTTAAAAAAAAAAAAAATGTTTTCTCTTCTCTCTAGACAGTAAGTGTAGAGAAGGTTTAAGTGTTAGATAAGGAAAAATATGGTTTCATAATTTTCATGCTGTCAGTTTAGGTATTAGAATTCTAAATAATACAAGTTTAAAATAATGTATGTGTATATATAAAAATAAACAATAAACATATGCAAATAATACTTTTTTCCTTTTGGTAGGTCGTTTTCGTCAAATCGAAGTGCTTACTACTGTGGCCAATGCATTTTCTTCTTTATATTCTCAAGTCTCTGGGACACCCCTGCAGAGAATTGGAAGTGTATCTTCAGTGACCTCTAACAAGGAGACAGAGTCGCCACCACCTTTAACCCGAAGTAACACTGCTAATCGTTTAATGAAAACACTATCTAAACTAAATTTATGTGTTGATAAAACAGAGAAAGGAGAAGGTAGTAGTCCTTCCCCTTCTATTGAGAAAGGAAAGATTCTAAATGTTTCAGTGATTGAAGAAAGTGGCAGTAAAATTGATCAAAAGTCTCAGAAAATTATGAAGAAGAAAGACTCCTCTTCTATGCTGGCTACAGTTAAAGAAGAAGTCTCAGGTAGTTCAACTGTTACAGAGAGTGTTGATGTTGATAGACTTTCTGATGAAGCAAATAGTAATTTTAACCAAGAAACTGAAAGTGAACAAAGTAAAAATACTCAAAGTCATGAGAGTAAACTGAGCGAGGACTCTGATGTTATACAATCCAATTTAGGGCATGATTTCAACATACCCAGCCATAGTGAGCTCGAAGGTAGCAGTGAGCTGAAAACCGTTCCTATATTCACACCTGAAAAAGAGTTGTGTGCACCACTGATAACCCCATTAATAAGAAATGTGATGACACAGCAGAAGGACTCTTTCGAGATGGAAGAGGTAAGTGAAAAAACTACTGAGGCCGGTTTCAAATAGTGAGCTAGGAAAAAGAGTGAACTATGTTTATAAAATGAGCTGTAGCTAATAGATTTATACTAGAAAAATGTATCCTAATTTTAACTCTCCAGGTTTGTGTTTCACAAACCAAGAATTGGTCATAGGACTATGTGTTAAGAAGGTAATGGGACAGGTCATTTCCCCCATAGGCTAGAGACGCTCAAGGAAGGAGATAGAAAGACCACTGAAAAGGATTTCTCCACCCAGACAACCCATATTTGATTACTTTTTATTTTAACCCAGTGATATTCTTGCTAGTTCACATCAATTTTGAACTGGACAAGCTAAAGATACTCACTTTGATGAAGTTCAGCTAAAACTGCCTTTGAATAGTATGAGCTGATATTTACAAGTTAGAGTTACATGATTGGGGGCAGGAAATGGGAGTTAATTAAGTACCTACTATGTAGTAGACTCTGTGTTTGGCCTTTGAAATATTAGATCGTTGGGAAAGCCATGACGTATTTTTCTGTTTTTCTATGCTAAAATGTGTCATGACTTCCCTGGTCACCCAATATTTTCTCCATCTGTGGGGTAGGCAGTGGAAGTCTCATTGTAACCATGAAGAATCTGTGGTATATATGTGCTGGTGAAAAATGGTGGCTATACATGATACAATATGCAGTTCTTTTTAAAATGTGTTACAGGGAGTTGTTTTAGTAATCATTTACAGTAGTTTTAGAATTATATGTCATTAGCTTAGGAAATTGGAAAATGAATAATTCTGTCCATAAACATCTTCTTAAATATGTTTGTATCTCTTGCACTAGGGAAGATCATGTACTGCAAAATTTTGGGTACTGATAGAGCTGTTTACCCTTTTTGTGGCCTTTGAATTATTATTTAATATCTAATTGCAACTAAAAAGTGAAAGATGGAGCAGGAGTAGTCCTCTAGACTATCATACATTATCTTACTAGCTGCCTTTTCCATTTTCTTTTTTTAAATGTATTTTTCTCCCATTTAGGAGGGGTTCTCAAAAAGTTCATAGAGAATATGTGTTAAAAATGGTATGGATTTAAAAATTATTGCACTAACATAAATTCATATATTTTCTTGAAAAAATCTTTACTGTGGTTAGTTCTTAATTTGACTAGAAAGAGACACATGAGAGAGAAAGGGAAAGTGATGAAGCAAGTTCCCAGGTCAGGGACTCGAACTGAGGTCAACCATGTGGGGAGTTGTGTGCCTTAACCACCACACTGCCTGCTGGCTCTCATAAACTCATTTTACTTCTGTTTTCCATGAGCATTTTGAAGTTCTGTTGCATTTTATTCTTAATATAATTCGTTTCCCATTATAATGAGCATAGAAGATAACTATTAATGGCTACATTAAAATTCCTCTTTGTTCCACTTTACTGATCCCATTTTGATCGTGTTATAGTCTAGACTTGTCCTAGCAATCATGATCAGTGTAAAATTCTTGCCTTCCATTAGGGCTCCTCTTCTTTGACACTTTTGATCTGACAGTCAATTTCCTTATTTCAATACAACAGAAGAATGTAAAACCTTAAATTGTGTTAGTTTGATTGCAAATCTGATTTTGGTGTCTCAGATTGGACAGTACTCCCATCTGTATTTTCAAATAAGTCAAAGAAGTTCCCTTTTAATTCCTAGAATTCCTGAATTCTTATCTATAAGATTTGTGTATGTGTGTACATGTGATTTTACACTTTTAAGATACCATACACAAAAGATCATTTAGACGTTTAGTCAGTGCCAGATGTATTTTGGCGATGGATTAACCTTCAGGGATAGACTATATATTTTTGCTCCCTCTGCTGGCAAAAACAGTTAATGAAGAAGGTAATGGAGCATTGACATGAACATTTTTGTTTTTTCAAGTACACGATTCCATGTATTGGTTGTTAAAGAATAATGGGAGATTTTAGTTTCCAAAAATAAAGTTTGTGGTCAACTGTAGCTGCATTGTAAAATAAATATGGACCATTTTAAGGATAAATGCTTGTTCTTCAGATATAGTTAGAATATAGATAAAAACCTCCTAGAATTGTGTTTTTATCCCTTTGGGAACTGTAAAGAGAGCTTATAAAACAATGGATAAAGAAGGGAAATAATGTGCTCCTTTAATTTCCTCTTCTCCCAAGCACGATTGACAAGTGAAGAGAACAATCATTGCAGCACACTTTTAGATCCCATTCAAAGTAGCTTGTTACTGTTTTTCTTTTGGACCCTTTTGGTTCAGATTTGAATTCCTGTTGGGAGCCTTCTTCCTGTAAAAACAGTGAGTCAATATAAGTTAGAACTCTCTTTTTCTCAGTAAAGTAGTTCTCAAGCAGAGCATCTGATTGCCAGCTGCCTTGGGAAGCTGGGTAGGAGAAAATGTTGCAGACCAGACATGACGCTGTGCACAAAACTGCCTAATCTGTCTGAGGCAGGAGGTAAGACCTGAAAGTCACCAGGAGTAAAGGGAGGAAATATTTAAATGTAAAGAGAGTAACTACGTGAGAAGACTGACTCAAGTTTAGGAGAATGAAAGTGGCTATTCTGTTCAAAAAGAAAAACAAAAGGTCAGAGACTATTTTCAACAAAAAGTCAGTCTGCCTTATAAAAAGTTGTTTGATTACTGTAAACTGTTTCAGTGTATCTAAAAGTTGTGAGACCCTGCTCTTACATTTTCTAATGTTTAAAGATTTGCTTGAATAATTTCTGTGTTCTTCTTGAATGGTTTATTTTGGATACATCATGGTATCTCTGTGGAGCCATACATTAATCATATGAATGGTTCATAGTTAAACCAGAGTTGATCCTAGTCAGTATGCAAGATTGTTCGTCTTATAGATATAGAGGAAAACCTTTTCATACTTTAGGATCAGAGGAAGGAGGGACCAGCAGTTAGCGGAATGACTATGTCGCTGGACTCCCACGTAGTCGACCACGGTTCGCGTCCTGGACCCAGTGGCTTAAAACTCATGCCAGGCACATGTGCGTGCGTGCCCAAGATCCCGAGAGGAGAATGGAGGAGAAGGAATTGCGGTGTGGCCATTCCCCCCTGGGGGGTGATTTCTCGCTTTCTGTCTCTCTGTCTGTCTGGCAAGCACGCGTGCCCTATACTGAAAACCTCTCCACAAAAAAAAAAAAAAAAAAAAAGAATTAGAGGAAGGAGAACTTCTATCTTTGTATTTCTATGAACAGTTTGTTGTATGGTTTTCTTGAGCTACATAATGAATTTATATTTAAATATAACCATTATTGGATGTATACATAATCTCTTTAAGGTGCTTTTTAAAGTTTTAGTAACTTTCTAATCCTGTCTCCATACTGATTGTTGACCTAACTAATGCACACCAATACTTATTAACTGTAAAGTTTTAGAACTCTTTTGTATATTATTTTAAATTTATTTATTTGTTTCTTCTATGAGTGAGAGAGAGAATGAGAGGACAGAGAAAAATAACACCCTCAACGGAGTCTTGATACCATGATCCCACCCCGAGTCCTAGCCCACCCCACATCATGGGCATGTATATGCCTGGAGTACTCAGGAAGGTTAGGAAGCACATAAACCCGGAACCTTCCCACGTGGATCAAGTTTTACTGCTGCACCACTGTAGACTGTCAGGTTTTACTGCTGCACCACTCTCTAGGCTCTTTTCTTTTGGGTAGTTGGGAAAGTCATGACACATTTTTGCATAGACAAACATAGAAAAATACATCATGACTTTTCCAGGGACCTAATACTAGATTTATTGTTCTGAGACCAGCATTTGGTGTAATGGCTATGTCTCTGGACTCCCAAGTAGCCCACCACAGTTTGAGTCCTGCGCCTGATGGGTTAAACTCATGCCGGGTGCGTACGTGCCCAAGACCCTGATAGGAGAATGGAGGAGAAGGGATTGTGGCTTGGCCATTCCCTCTGGGGGGGCGGGGGTGATTCTATCTCTCTGTCTCTCTCTGTCTTTCTGGTGAACGCACACACACCCTATAGCAAAACCCTCTCCAAAAAAAAAAGAAAAAAGATTTCTTTTTTCTGAGTTAAGATCATCTCAAATCAATTTGGTATTTGACAGAGTTAAATTGTTTGGCCTTCCAAATTTAGTTATGCTCTTGAAGACAAGTGTTTACTAGAATATGAACTCTTAACACATGGCATATGCAGAGGTGTCTGTTATTTGAAAGCCCAATAACCTTTTCTTTTTTTTTTTTTTAATTTGGTACTTTTCTGAAAGACCCAAGAACTTAAAAAAAAAAAATTGACAAGAGGACACTTGTGTTTACCAGAGAGAGAGGGAGAAAGCACCCTGCAATGAGTCATGCCACAATCCCTCAATTTTTCCCTCCTCTGGGATTTTGGACAAACTTGCACAGATGCCCAGCATATTTTTCAGGTTGCTGGGGCCAGGATTCAAACTACGTGGTTGAGTGGTTGGCCAAATGAGATCCAGTTTCCCTTAACCACTAAGCCATGGGGTGGGTCCCCCTTTTTTTTTTTTTTTTTTTTTAAGATATATGCTTATAAGTAATTATATAGTCATAAACTAGGATAGAAAGGGAATTTTGAATGCATTTTCCAGTATTCTCCCTTCACAGGTAAGCAAGCATCTTCCTCCTGCCCCCTACTGCCACCATGATATTATTTCAGAGCAGTGATTTTTCTAGCATCTTTCTAAGGAATATAAAATTACTTTTGAGATCAGTGCCTCAAGTAGGGGAGGGAAGCTGGAAGTATCAGTGGAAGATGGCAGAGAGAGCTCTTGTGCATCTTTGCAACAGGTTAGGTATCGCTCATCTGAAATGCTTGGGATCAGACGTGTCTTGGATTTCGAATTCTTGAAAGTCTCACATTTTTTTTTTTTTTTTAGATTTGGGAATATTTGTATTCCACAAAAAGATGTCTTAGAAATGGGACCTAGATCTAAACATGATATCTATTTATGTTTCATGTATACCTTACAGACATAATCTGAAGATGATTCCATAAAATACGTAATTTTGTCCATGAAACAAAGTATGTGTACACTGAACAGCTGGAAAGCTAAGATGTCACTGTCTCAGCCACCCGTGAGGGCAGATGGTGGCATCATTCTTCACTGCAAATTTATGTGATACCAATAAAATCATTTTCTTACACTTATTCACACATAAATACTTAGTAAAAAATGTATGACATACCCTTAGCACTGGGTCCCTTAGGGATGCTGAATAAACTATCCTGCACCTGTGTTTTGAATCCAGGAATGGAATTTTTCACTTAATGATGCATGTTGGTGCTCAAATATTTATGCAGTTTTGGATTTTTGAGCATTTCACATTTTGTATTTTGGGATTAAGGATTCACAAACCTGTATTTTACTGTTAACTACAATCATATTTGAGCGTCCTAAAGACCTGTAAGGTAGGAGTTTTAATCTTTGTTTTTCAGTAAACAAAATTGATAACAGTATCTAAAGCCATTTAACTAACAAGTAGCATGACTAAGACTTAAATTCAGGTCTTTCTATAGGCAGGCTACTTCTAACTACCTATACAACTTGCTAAAGGTCAGATTGGTTGTTGGGGTCAGCCACTGGGCAAGAACCTAAGTCATGTGACAATCAGCCCAATATGATTTCTTGGTAGAAAATGCTTCTTTTGAAATTTTTTTTGAGATGTCATTAAAAAATAGAATAACAGTTTTCTTTTTTTAGAGATTTTTGCTGTAGGGCGCATATGTTCCCCAGAGACAGAGAGCAATAAACCACCCTACCCCCCCCGGGGGGATGGCCATGACTCAATCCCTCTTCCTCCATTCTCTTCTCATGATTTTGGGCATACACACACACACACACACACACACACACACACACTCAGCATCAGTTTTAAGCCACTGGGTCCAGGACTTGAATCATAGTCGAGTATGGAGGAGTCCAGAAGCATAACTATTCCGCCATCTGCTGGCCCCTAGAGTGATAGTTTTTGAAGCCCTAGTTTTGATATTCTTTTGAAATTAGTATTATACACAATGTCTGTACAATGATAAGAGCTATACAATGTCTCTTTAAACCTTGGAGGAAGGGTTATTTGAGTTAAAACATCCACGTACAGCTCACAGGAGAACACAGTACAGTAGCACTCTGCCTAAACGGTGCGTTATATTCAAAAAGGGTGCATTATAGTCATGATAAATGTGGCAGCTGTTGAGCATCCAAAATAGGTACCTGTCATGTTAGTAATACTTTGATTCAGAAAGATACAGTCACTTTACAGGCAGAGTAACCCCAGATGCATAGGTTATTCTAAATCTGTTTTTGTGTGTGTGTTTTTTTCTTTTTTTTCCTAGAGGGTGCATGTACTTCCCAGAGACAGACAGGAAGAAGAGAAAGCACCCTTCATAGGCAATGGTCACACCGCGATCCCTTCTTTATTTCTCCCTCTTTTCAGGATTGTGGTCATGTATACACACTTGCCTAATGTGTTTCTCATGCTCCCAGGTCCTGGACTCAAACTGCAGGTTTGGCCATGTGGGAGATCTGGCTGCTTTAAACCACCAAGCCACAGAGCCAGCTTGGTGTTCTTACATCTGTAATTTTCAATACACTAATGCTGAAGGTTGTTTTGTTTTGTTTTATTTTGTTTATCATTCTGGCTTTGGAATTTTTTTTGAACATATCAAAGAATCAAGAAAATAGTGTAATGAACACCCATTACCCATCACTTGATTCAGTTATATTTAGTCATTCTTATTAATTTAATGAAAGGTCAACTGTAACAAATGACCAGAATTGTACCGAGCCCTTGAAATCATTGGATAGGAAAAATCTTGCCACATAATAAATCTAAGTTCTAGATTTATCTTATCTCTGTGGTATACACCACCTTGAATTCACTGGTTTTTTTGTTTGTTTGTTTTTGGTACAATTCTGATTCATGATAAAATATGGAAGCTGAGAAATTTACCCATTGTCACTAGCATGTCTTTTTCTTTCTTCCACCATAGGTAGGTACTGTGATTTTGCTGAGTTAAGAATGTTCCTGACTTTATTAGGTTTATTAGTAAACTATGACTCTCAACTCTTTTGTTTAGGTACCCCTTTCTTGCAATTTATTATGAAGTTTATAGTAAAAGGAGACAGAGATTGAGTAGATTTCTTTGCCATAGAGTAGCATGTTGAAAGATAGTACACTGATTATATATGCTCATTAAAATTATTTTGTGGGACCAGTGGATGAAGTAATGGCTACGTCACTGGACTCCCATGTAGCCAACCGTAGTTTGAGTCCCGGACCTGGTGGCTTAAACTCACGCTGGGCGCATGTGTGTGTGTGCCCAAGATCCCAAGAGGAGAATGGAAAAGAAGAGATTGTGGTGTGGCCATCCCCTCTGGGGGACTATTTTTTGCTTTCTGTCTCTCTCTCTCTCTCTCTCTGTCTTTCTGGTGAGCGCACGTGCCCTGTAGCAAAAGCCTACCCACCCCCCCAAAAAAAAGTTATTTTGTGATTCATAAGTCTAAGAAAATAGGATATGTGATAATTCCACATTTTAAAGTAAGAGATTACAACTTGGTGTGTCATAATGATATGCCTAAGCCAAGATTCCTAAAACATAAATAAAGAGGCTTTTGAATTTATTTTTTGTAATATTTTCATCTGCTTGATAGTTACTTTACAGAAAGTTCTTTGAAGTAGGCTGGGCCTGAATAGAAACTATTAATAGACCTTTTGTTGAATATAAAAAGAAAATGCATCTTGTTCCCCTGCACACAAAACAATAGTTTTCCTGTTGAACTTGTATCTGGTGCCTTGAAGAATATATGATAATTTTTTTTATTTTTAACTTTTGCTATAGGATGTATATGCTCACCAGAGATAGACAGAGACAAGGGGAGAGAGAGAGTGAGAAATTACCACCCTTTTCTTTTATTCTCCTCTTGGGAGTTTGGGCATGTATGTACATGCACCAGGCGTGTTTTCAAGCTCCTGGATCCAGAACTTAAACCGGCCATGTGGGATTCAGCCTCCTCAACCTCCATACCACCTGTTGGTCCCCATAATGTTTATTTTTATTTATTTATTTATTTAACCACAGGGTATACATGCACTTGCCAGAGAGAGAGAAAGAGACAGACAGCAGACAGAAAGAGAAAGAAAGAAATCCCTCTTAGAGAAATGGCCATATCTCAATCCTTTCTCCATTCTCCTTCTGGGATTTTAGATAGGCACACTCGTGCTCGGTGTGATTGTCAGGTTGTTAGGTCAGGGACTCAAACTGCAGTTGACCATGTGGGAGTCCAGACTCTTAATCACTATTTGACAAATCAGAACAGTTTTTTAATTGGCAGATAATATCTTTAACTTTTGAGCTTTTTCATGTTGATTATTTTACTTTTATTTCTATAATATATTTCTTACAGTTGAATAGATCATAGCTCAAAACTACCAGAGTTTTACCTAAAATCTATTGTTATATTTGCTCTGATTTCTTTAGTGTTGAAACTCATATATTTGGGTAATTTGACCATTTTATTAATAGGGTGCTATTTACTATCTAAGAACTAATCATTAGTGATTAAAAGGATGAAAGTTGGTATATCTTTCATGTTATGATCTTGATACAGATTTAGGTGTGTTGGGATACGTGGAGAATTTGTGTGGGGAGGCGATAGGAAGGACTGAAAGTCTCTCATTTATGTAGTTGTGCAGATAGAAAGAAAAAACAGCACAAAAAGACAACTTCTGTGTGTTTGATATTTTCTTTGAGTTTTCAGGGTGGATTTATGGTTAAGATCTTTCTTTCAGCATTTTGGTTCTGCAAGGAAACCTGCTTTTCCACTTACAACTCCCAAGTTCTGTCATAAAAAAACCACTTATATGCCAGGATGAAACAGTCTTAGATATGAGCAGTTTTTGATACCTGAAAACTTGTGGGACTTTAGGAAATTTTGCAACAGGAACACAATGTCCCATTTTTAAGGACACAGTACTTGTAATCACCTCAGTTATGTGAGTTATGTGTTGGCCATGGTTTGCTATAATGGAGATATTAATATTTCCACTAGGACTGATACTACTTTAAAGATGGCTATTTAGAGAATAACTCTTTCCTGTGGATCTGCTTTTTTTTTTTTTTTTGGAGAGATTTTCACTGTAGGGCGCGTGCGTTCGCCAAACAGACAGAGAGAGACATAGAGACAGAAAGCGAGAAATCACCCCCCAGGGGGGATGCTCACACCGCAATCCCTTCTCCATTCTCCTCTCAGGATCTTGGGCATGCACGCACATGCGCCCGGCATGAGTTTTAAGCCACCGGGTCCGGGACACGAACTGCGGTCGACTATGTGGGAGGCCAGCGACATAGCCATTACGCTAACTGCTGGTTCCCTGGATCTGCTTTTCATCTAATAGAAACTTTTTTTTTTTAATTGTCAGAGGGCATGCGCACTTGCCATGGGGAAAGTGGGACAGAGAGAGAACGAAAGAGAGAGAACCACACCTCTGTGGGGTATGGTCACTCTGCAGTCCTTTTTCCATTATTCCTACTTTCATCAGAATTTTGGGCTTTGAATGCACACATATCTGGTATGTTTTCAACCTGCTGGGGCCTGAATTTGAACCATGGTTGGCCATGTGGGATCCAACTCCCACATTCACTGTGCTACAGGCTGGCCCAGAAGCTTTTGAAAAATGAAGTAGTTTGTACATGCAGTTATTTATTTATTTTTTTAGTAGCTACAAATTTGTATGCTACTGTGAACTGGACAACTGATCAGCAAATTGAAGTAGAGCATTCCAACAGGTTTGAGATAAAATGTGCTTAAATTTATGTGTGTAATACTTTAATGTGCATTAGTTAGGTTTATTTGTTTAATAAATGGTTATCAAGATGTTCTTTGCCTTAGATTCTTTTTGTTTTAACTAGTTAAAATTCTCCCTTAGATTCAAAGCACAGAAGGAGAAGCTCCTCTTGTTGCAGCCACCGTTACTCAGACCAGGATAAAAAGAGGTTAGTGGACTAATATCCACGGGTTCCTGAGTATATTCCTGAAGTGTATGTTGATTTGGAAAAGGGATTTTTATCTAGCAGTACTGGTAGTCCTTGTAAGTATAAAGAGAGGACTTAACAGCATAGGTAAGCATGCTTCATTATTGTTTGGTTATATAATTTTTTTATACTTTCTTGAAGATTTTTGTGCTCATAAACCAATAGTAGTTTGCTTATCCTGGAATGACATGCTTATCCAATCCCATGTGCACCAAATATTTTTCAGTTCTGCCTAAGAACTGGGGTGGCAGTGATAGAAAGAGAACTGATTGGGACTGCATTTTACATTGTTAGGATTGAAAAATATATTTGTATTCTCCATTTCTGGGTTTTAGTTATTCAAATATAGCTCCTAGGTATAATGCGTGAACATGCCTGTGGTGACGAAAAGCACCCATCTCTCAGCAGTAGTTAAACCTAGTTAAATTAAATTCTGACTGTGGATCAAAGGTGAGTGACTGTGGATATCATTCTTCTCTTGAATTATTAATTATTGACCAAAGACCCTTTGAATCCATCTCTTTCACTTTTAACTTGCAACTAGAAAAAAATGTCAGATCTTTATATTTACAAAGCTTTTTGAGATTCAGAGAAAGGGAGAGAGGAAGAAGTTAAAATGATGACTGAAGGTAGGACTCTCTATTTTTAAAACTTTGCACATGCTGAACCACCCTGTTCTTTTTTAAACAAAGATTCATAAGAATGTTCCTAGAAGAGGAAATTACATGTTTGTTTTCTCCTGATCTCTGAAATTACTTCATAAGAGATAATTTGCATATAATTTTTCTTTCATTGCAATATGCTTCTAAGAAGCAAGAGCTTCACTCTTACTAGGTCACTACAGTTCTGATAAGACACAAAGCATACTTTCACACTTCATTTCTTCCCTCTGCACATCCTTAAATGTACATACGTGTTTCTGAGCTGTAAGACAGAGTTCAGAGTCTTTGCATCAGGTGGGCAGGCAAAGAGGGTTACATTGGAAGAAGTAGCTGCCATGTGTCAGAAGGGAGAGAAAAGATGTTTTAAGATTAAGCTACCTGTGGAGAGAAGGATAGAATGTGATTTGTATTCATATCTGGGTTTCTTCTCTGATTAATGCTGGGTCTGTTATTTCTAGTGATTTAAGCAAATATGTTAACATTTTATGAGTTAAATTTTTATAAATAGTAAAATGGTTTTGTGCACGTGTGTATGAGAGAAAGAGACAGGAAACAACATATTATTTTAGACATTTTGGGAAATAATCTATCAAATTTTGGTGATGTGATATGCAAGTATTACAGATTAATCACAATTGCAGAATTACTATTATAATTATTTCACAGGTTTAAAAAAAAATACAGTACTTTAGTACTAGGACTTTTGAAGCTGAAATTCTGTTTAATCTCAAATTCAGTCTGGACCGAAGCCTAGAGCAGTTTAGTGACTTAACGCATGTCACCAACTAACATTTGGTAGATATGTTGAGAGCTGTCAAACAATTTTCTTATTATAGAAGACACACAAAATTTTTTAAGTGCCAAAGAGCATGTGCATTCTCAGAGACAGAGGAAGAAGACACTTAAGTGGAGTGTGGTAATGCTGCAATCCCTTCTCCATTTCTCCATCCCACTGGGAGTTAGGGAACACACATACCCGGTTTGTTTTCAAGCTGCTAGCACTTAGATTCAAACCTCAGCCAGCCATCCTGGACCCAGGACTCTTAACCGCTTGGCTATAGGGCCAACCTCAATATTTTCTTTAGCAGAGACTAGACAGGTGTTCTGTTTTATTTCTTTATAATATCGGACAGTAAAGTTTTGAGATTTTTGTCTTTTCCTTATGAATCTTTCCTCTGACATTGTATTTTAAATTAGAAATAAATGTTATATTTTCAGAACAGAGGTCTACTCCTTTTTCTACCATTTTCCGTAATGAACTGTGTTTCTCTGAAACAGAAACATCTGACTAAAATTATGATTTATAGTTTACAAAATATTGAGTAGTTCACATATGTTCTAATTAGTTCCTAAAGTAGTCCTGTGAAAAGTAGAGAAGGACCGTTATCATCCCATTTCATGGACAAGAAAAGTTACTGCTTCTGATTATGAAACAAAGCAGGAAGGTGTGCCCGGGTCTCTTGTTCTTTCCACTGCCGGGCAGCAGGTCTGAAGCCGTAACAGCCTCCATTGTGGCCTAAACTGTGGACTCAGTAGACAGGGCTCCACAGCTGTGAAGGGAACTCAGCACAAGCTGTTCTCCGGTGCAGACAGAACAGATCTTGGCAGGGAGAGCCTGAGGCTGAGCTGCTCACTGTGGCTTCCCGGGCGATCTGACAAATGCCCTTTGCCCACCCAGCTAGCCAGTTTCACTTCGAAATCACTGTAGTGACTGCTTAATTCTACTGCCACTTTAAGGAAATAGTCGTCATCCATTCTTTCAGCAAATAGGATTTATTTCCAGCTTGTTCTAGGTACTGGCATACAAAGAACAAATAAGCTTCCTGACTTCAGAAGGTTTACAATCTATCAGGAAAGTCACGATGCATTTTTGCATAGAAAAATATGTCATGACTTTCCCGACAACCCAGTAGTTTCTTTTAAAAAAGAGAGACATGCAAACACATAATTACTGTGGTAACTGCTATGACATAAGGTGTTAATCATTTTCTCAGTGAATATATTGCCTAGTTAGTACTGATGGTAACAGCTTATTACAAGTCAGTTTCATAATTATTCCAGTTTACCTATACTTATCAAAGATAAGGAGTAATCCCTGTATTTCATTATGCAGTTTTGGTAATATCAAAATGGTATTACAGTATTATTCTAACTTTTTAATGGGACAAACATTATTCCATGGCACCTGGGGCAACAGTGGGATGCTTTTAAAAATCAGGAAAACCATAATTGATTCTGGATTTTACTCATTTGTATTATCTGGGTCTTTCTCAGAATGGTTCAAATCTTAAACGAATGTGGATTTTGGTAAACATACTTTGCTTAGCCTTTTGCTTTTGAACTTCTGCAGAACTTTGCTTTCTCATAAAACATCTCCTCTAGGGACCAGCAGTTAGCGTAATGGATATATCACTGAACTCCCATGTAGCCAACCGTGGTTCGAGTCCCAGACCTGGTGGCTTAAACTCATGCCGGGTGCGTGTGCATGCGTGCCCAAGATCCCGAGAGGAGAATGGAGGAGAAGGGATTGCAGCGTGGCCATCCCCCCCTGGGGGGGGGGGGTTATTTCTTGCTTTCTGTCTCTCTGCCTCTCTCTGTATCTCTGGCGAGCACACGTGCCCTATAGCAAATCCTCTCCAAAAAAAGAGAAAATCTCCTCTAGGAAATGTAATAACAGAAAAGCCTCTCCATTGTAGTAGTTGTTCACATGTATGGAATGGGATCTCGCTTGCTGCACTTAGTGGGCTTTTCACTTATTTGAAACTTTTTTCAGGATATACTTGCCAGGAATTGGAGTCTAAGGCAAAAGAATAAACAGACGTATTTTATTAGATTAACAGTGTTCTGTACTAGTTGAATCTACTTGAGTTCCATGTAATTATTATGAAAGAATTGTTTCAGAACTTAAAAATGTTTGCACGCTGGAAACATCAGAGACATGTAACTATCCTTGACATTTCAGATTATTAAATTTCTTGGCCTTAATTCTTACTTTCTTATCAGGAAGATTATATGATTTTTTTAATATAACTTCATATAAACTTCTCATTTTACCTCTGAACATCTTTACTTACTTATATAGTGGAAATATTTTACTTTGGAACTTCCAAAGTCGTTTATAGTAGAGCCATTTTTTATTTCGGCTAGATGGCCTCTAAGGAAAACACAGTATTTGCATTTGTCATGGTACATTATAATTAGAAGTTAATTAACAACTGAATACTGAGAGTTGCTGATAGAAGATCTGATTCACTTTTTGTTTGAATTTGACTTATTTCCTGTGCTTTGAAGCCACAGTTTTGCATAAGTAATACATAGTTTTCCAGAAAGGATTCAGTGTTGAAGGTCTTTTCTCTTTTTGAAATCATATCTGTAATAATATTGCTCGATGTAGCGGTCTTTATAATTCCTTTTTTTACTGGCAGATCACCTGTTGCGTACTGCGAGTCAGCATTCTGATAGCAGTGGTTTTGCTGAAGACCCTACGGACTGCCTCTCTCTTAACCATCTTCAGGTAAACTTTTCTATTGTGATAGGCACTATGATCAACCTCCCCTTCATTTCATGATAATTTTTTTAGTTTAAAGATGGATTGTGTCTAATTTGTATTTTTCAAATGATAGTAAAAATGAAACTCTTCTGATATATAGATACCTAGGCATTTGACTATAAATTTTAGGTTTCACTAATTCTTCCTCTCTCTGAAGCAAAAATAAGAGAAAGAGTGAATGTGAGATAAAGAAAAGCTTCTCCTTTTTAATTTTTAGACTCCAATAAATAGGGATTTCTTTGATCTCTAATCTGCTTATTATGGATCCTAGCTTATGGGATGTTATTCTGACTTTTATGTTAGTCTTTGTTAGATAACCTGGAAAACAGGCACACCTGCATCCTCACGGAGTTAATGGTTTATATGTAGAGTGTACAAAAGGAACAAAAAAAAGCATTCAAAATGTCTATGAGCAAATTTTAATGAAAATTAGAATGAGAAAGAACTTAAAAAGAGCCTTTAGAAACAGCACTTATGGAGTAAATAGATGACATATACTTAAAGAGAGTCCGAATAATTAAGTAGACTAAAACTCAAGAGATGGAGGGGGGACTTTCAGAAGGACATCTGTGGTCTTCAGATGGAAAGGTAGGGTTGTGGCCGTTAGGAAAGAGTAGTTCTGACGGGGTAAATGGGCAAAAGCATCATTGGAGAGGAAATTGAAGGTGAAAGAAGTTAGGAATATTAACCGTGTTTTTGTTTGTTTGTTTTGCTTTGTTTTTTTCTCCAAGTAAGTGGCTTAAGTGTGACTGACAGGTCTTTTTGGTTTTTTTAAACATGGAGAAGTTACTCAGCTAAGGGAAGGGACTATAAAGAGAGGAGAGTTTGGTCCAGAAAAATCTGGGATGAAACTAGAGAAATACCTAGAGCCTGGAAAGAAGGAGATCAGAAATGGAGGTTGGAAGGATTAGCTCGGTCAGAAGGAACAAGATCTCCTTTTAGCATAGAGAGAAGCGGGGAGTGCTGGGCAGCGATATGGGGAAGCCTTTCGGTGTAGAAGAATGTTAAGGAGTTTTGGTCCGTTTTCCCTGAGCCAGCATCGTGTGTTAAATGAATAGGAGGGTATTGAAAAGGGAATTTAAGGAAAATAGTGAAGATCTGAAATAATCTTTGAGAGAACGTGGCAGGGAAAGGGGTTGTGGTTGCTGATCAGGATGGTAAAACAGTTCAAGCATCCCCAGGGCCGCAACTGAGTCAGAGGAGACCATTAAAATACAGAGAAGCCTTGTATCAGTTTGGTATTTTATTAATGCTATTTCTCTTAACCATCACTTTTCTACCTGTCGTCCTTTCTCAGGTTCATGAGCCCTTGCAAGCCATGGGGAGTAGTGCTGATAGTTGTGACAGTGAGACAACAGTCACATCATTTGGTGAAGACCTTGTTACACCAACAGTACAAGACCAGCCTTATTTCAATGAATCAGAGGAGGAGTCTCTCATGCCACTTCAGAAAGGGAAGGAGAAGGCAGCCCCAGTTGCTGACAAGAGAGAGTCAGACAGCCAAGATGTCCCTCAGTGTGAGACTGACGAGAGCACAGGAGCTAAGCAGCCCCCCTGCAGTCCAGGGAATGATGTTTCTGAAATCCCTGAGGTGGGAGAAGATTTGTCCCCTGAACAGACAGCAGAGCTCCAGAGGGAAGCAAGTGCTGAGAGCGATGTGGATAAAGGCAGCGAGTGTGAATTTACTCAGTATACCACACACCATATTCTGAAATCTCTAGCCTCTATTGAAGCTACCCCTAGTGACAGGAGCTCTGAAAATACAACGGGACCCCCCTCTTCTGTGGACAGAGTTAATACAGCCTTGCAGAGAGCTCAAATGAAGGTTTGTAGCCTGTCCAGTCAAAGAGCAGGGCGTAGCCTGATCAAATCTAAAGATCTCTTGAAACAAAGGTACTTACTTGCAAAAGCTGGGTATCCTTTAAGAAGGTCTCAGTCTTTACCAACCACCTTGCTGAGCCCAGTGAGGGTCGTGTCTTCGGTCAACGTTCGGTTATCTCCTGGAAAAGAGACCAGATGTAGCCCACCTTCCTTCACCTATAAGTACACACCCGAAGAGGAACAGGAATTGGAAAAAGGAGTGGTCGAGCATGATGGGCAGTCTTTAGTTAAATCCACTATCTTCATCTCCCCATCATCTGTGAGGAAAGAAGAAGCCTCCCAGGGTGAGCTGACCCAGGTGGAGGAGAGCCCTCCTGGAAGGACTCCAGCCTTTTCACAGTTTGTTTCTGCACCGATCTCTCAGTCCACCTGCTCGCTTCACTCTGTCCACTCCGAGTGGCCGGAAAGACCCCTGTGTGAGCACATGAGAACTCTAAGCACTCATAGCGTTCCCAATATATCAGGGGCCACCTGTAGTGCCTTCACATCCCCTTTCGGGTGTCCTTACTCACCCAGACATGCTGCCTACCCTTATCGAGTGTCTGCTGTGAATCCTCCTTCTGCCATAGAGATGCAGCTGCGAAGAGTGTTGCATGATATTAGAAGCTCACTACAGAATCTTTCACAGGTATGAGAAAAGGTGTATCTTTCTTACGAACTTGTTTCTTTTATGGCTTCAAGTGCCTCTTAATTTGCTTAGAAGCTAAGACTCATCAGACCTGAACTCCCTCAGTTTTATTTTCTTGCATGCCTAAACCTATCTGTACCTGCCCTCCTCCTACACTCTTCCTTCCTGTTTAAAGGGAAAAGCTGTAACTCATCCTGAACAAAGTTACCTTGCTCATAATCTCCCTCTCTTCCTAGAGGAGAGGTTTTTCTCATTAGACATCCTCCCTTTTTCAGCCTCTCCTCTATTGTGTTGACCAAGTCCAGAAATGTTCTTAAGCTGGCCCTTTTATTTAAAAATCTTCCCTCTCAGAGTCCTTTCTCTCCTTCTCTATGCCATTTGAATGTGTTGACCACCTCTTCCTTTTCTAAGTTCTCTTCATGTTCTCTATGACTAAGCTTTCCACTCACCTACTGACCCCTCATGCTGGTCTCCTGGCACAGAAGTAGTCTCCTTCCACTGAACTCAAAGGCTGGAACTTTTCCAGAACAGAAAAAAATAAGGTAAAGTATGAATTTGATTGAAAATGTCCTGTATGTCTTGTTGCTTTTAAAGTCATGGGACTCAGATCTATTAGTCTGGAAATAATTTTTTTTAAAAAGGGGAAAACTGGAAATAAGTAAGTTGTCTTCAGCCTTACTTTCATGTTTTCTTTCTTAAAAAAAAAAAAAATGCCAGAGGAGCATGTGCTTGCCACAGGAGGAGAAGGAGGGAGAGGAAGAAAGCACCCACCAGTGGGCTGTATTCATGTCACAGTCCCTTCTCTGTTTCTCCATCCCGTTAGGATTTGGGGCATGCATGTGTACCTGCCTATGATGTTTTTCAAACCACTAGGACCAGGATTGGAACTACTGTTCATATGGATCAACTCCCTTAACCATAAGGCCATGGTTTCACATTTTCTTTCTAACTCTCTCTCTGAGCTTATATATATTTAGATAATCGAGGAATTGCAGAAAATGACAATATAATGTCATGATGAGTATGTTCATTGGGGAGTTGGAAGGCCTATAAAGCATGTAATAGAGGTCTCATTGCCATGAAATAGCTAACAGGAAGCTGCAAAAATAAAGTTATAACCTTTACTTACAGGTTTTATCCTCATGACAGTTGTTCCTAATGATTGCATGCTAACCAGAATGTGGGTGTTTCCTCTTCCTCTTTATAAAATGTAGGTTTATTTATGACTGAGATATGTAAGCATTGAGCTGTAATTATGTAGAAAGGCCCTTTCCAGGAGCATGCTCATGGTTCACCTACTTTCTCGGCGACTTGTTCTTCTGCTCTAGCTGTGCTGTCTAACTCTTGGATGTTCCACGGAGAAGTCAGCTAATAAATCTGCCCATGCCCACCTCCCCCCCAGGAAATAGACACCCTGCGTAACCTGGTCTTGACTGTCCATTCCAGTTCCTAAGGTGTGTGCCCCAGCCACCTTGGACTGCATGCAGGCCTCAGTGCCTTCTGCCCTGACTGCACATGACTTTTTTTTTTTTTTTTTTTTCCTTTGAGAAAGAGACTTTTGCTTGGGGCATGTGGGCTCGCGAGAGAGACAGAGAGGAACAGAGAGACAGAAAGTGAGAAATCACTATCCCCCAGGGAATACAGCCCTGCTGAAATTCCTTCTCCTCCATTCTCCTTTTAGGATTTTGGGCACACATGCGCACGTGCCCGATGTGAGTTTTAAACCACCAGTTACAGGACTTGAGCCATAGTTGGCCATGTGGGAATCCACTTCCCTTATCACTAAGCCACCTGCTGGCCCCCATGCCTATGTTTTTATAACCGAATACCGCCCCCCCCTTCCCCACCCCAGCCCCTTGTCCTTCTTGGAGTGACCAAGTCTGTTTACTGTGAAGGCTCAGTTCTGGTGTCACCACTGTTCAAAAAGCTTACCTGATCTCAATGTTTGTTTGTTTCCATCATAGCAACCTGTCATATTATAATATTTTACTTTTCTTTTTCCATATATTGTGAGAACAAAGGAAGCCTGGGAATGCCTTTTAGCCTCACTATCTAAAGCAGTGGCATGTAACAGATGAGCAAAGGTCTAAGAGTGTGATGTTACTGGCTGTTCTCTCCAGCATGCAGTCATTACTGTAATCTCATGATGACATTTGCAGTTGCTTCTACATTTTTGAGTTTCGTTTTTGTTCTTTTTTTTTTTTTTACTTTCAAGGCAAGAGGGAAGTCCTGTCAGACATACTGGGTTGTCAGAAAAGTCATGATGCATTTTTGCATAGGAAAACAAAAAAATACATCATAACTTTCCCGGTGACCTAATGGATGTAAGCTATAATCATTCCTTTGTCTCCTCCTCCTCTCAGATAAGATGACTTAAACTTGGAGCTGTAGGAGTACTAGGTGACAGTGGGGCTGATCTTTTTGGTTCTTGCTTACAATATGAAGGTCTTTTTAGTTTTTTTGAGTGTGTGTGTGTGTGTGTGTGTGTGTGTGTGTGTGTTTGTTTTGCTTTTGTTTTTTGTCTGAAAGAGAAAATAAGTGGGCCCTAATTCTGCCTTTTTATTGCCTTTGGTAATCTGGAGTTTTTAAATTCTACTTTCACTTTTTTGAAGTACCCTATGATGAGAGGACCCGAATTTGCTGCTGCTCCGTATAGTACTCAGAAATCATCTATTCTACCTCTTTATGAAGTAAGTACTTCCTTAAATCTTTGGGTTACAAACTAAGTTGTATGATCTGAAAGTGTAATTCTGTTATGTTGCATTTCAGAATACTTTTCAGGAGCTCCAAGTAATGAGGCGGAGCCTGAATTTGTTTAGAACACAAATGATGGACTTAGAATTGGCTATGCTGCGTCAGCAAACCATGGTTTATCATCATATGACGGAGGAAGAGAGGTAAGCATATGTATTAACTCAAAAGGATTTTCAATCAAAGAAGCATTTTCAGCTTATGTTTTTTCAAAAGCTAGCTTTTATTCCTATTGCTGCATACTCTGTTTTGTGAACCAATGGAGACAAAATAAGGCTTACATGGTGTTTTACAAATTAAACTTCTGTGCTTTCAGCGTCTTAGGGAAGGTGGTGGTCAAGACCTGTTTTTCGGTGTTTGGGATATTTGTGAGAGAAAATAAAGGAGAGAGAGAAGATTGTCCTAGTAGTTACACCGATTGGGTTATCAAGAAAGTCATGATATAGTTTCTCATATTTTTCTGTGCAAAAATGCATCATTACTTTCCCTGGACACAATAGTTGCTACTATGCCTGTTTGTAAAATGTAGTATTTCAATACCTTCTGTTAGCTTATAGCAGTTGTCAACAGTTGTGAGTAGGAATCTCCAAACTGCTTTTTTCTAACTTTGCGCCTGTAGGTTTGAAGTTGATCAGCTCCAGAGTTTAAGAAATTCAGTCCGGATGGAACTTCAGGACCTGGAGCTGCAGCTGGAGGAGCGGCTGCTGGGCCTAGAGGAGCAGCTTCGTGCCATGCGTGCGCCTTCACCCTTCCGCCCCTCTGCGCTCATGGTATGCACCCTCAGGGATGTCGGTGGTTTTCACTAAGGACTCATCTGTAATGTTCCATGGACTTGAGAACAAGTACCTTCGTTTTAAAACAGTTATGATAATGATATTAGATGACATTAGAAACGTGCCGAATATTTAGTGAGCTTTCCCATAAATCAGTTGAATATGCATGTTGTGATAATTTTCTTATTCATTATACTTACCTTTGCAATTTTAGTATATTTACATTTCAAGTACAATGAAGGTTTTTCTTTTTGTTTTTTGTTTGTTTTTAACTGTAGGGCACTTGCCCTTCCTGGGGAGAGACATAGACAGAGAGAGGAAAGGTGAGAAATAACCCCCCAAGGGGATCATCTCACACCACAGTCCCTTTTTTTCCATTATTCTCTTAGGATTTTGTGTACATGAACGTGCACACAAACACATGCCTTACATGATTTCAAGCTGTCCAGTTTGGGGCTCAAACCACAGTGGGACATGTGGGAGTGCAGTACCTTAACCACTGTATCATCTGTCGGCCCCTGCAGTAAAGAATTTTAATAACTTTTTTAAAAGAGATTTTTGCCTAAGAGCATGTGTACTCACTGGAGAGAGAAAGAGACACTGAGAAGGAAAATGAGAAATCACCCCTCAAGGGGGATGGTCATAACGTAATCCATTCTCCTCCCAGGATCTTGGGCACACACACATACAGACTGGTGATTTTTGACCCATCAGCTCCATGTCTCAACATCGAAGCCAGCCATGTGGGAATCCAGCAACGTAACCACTATGCCATCTGCTGGCCACTTAATGATACTTTTTAATAATAGGAAAGAAGATTGATCAATATAGAAGTTCAGTTGTATATATATGTGTGTTTTATACATATATATGTATATATATACACACACACACACAGATGCATATATATATTTATACATTCCATCACTATGTATCATTGTAACATTCAAAATAAATTTTCCTAGCATGGATACACTGGATATTAGTCCAATAAAGATATTATCATAAACGTTAACATCAAAAGATATTTTTCTCTTTTCGTGACCCTTAAATGTCTGGTTTCTTTCTTTTTCCCCTTGATTTTCTTCCCCACACCCTCCCCCATTTCCCATCTTCCTCCCATACTGTGTTCAGTACTCACAATTGTTCTCCATGTTTTTTTATCTTCTGATCTTAAAGTTTCTGTCATAGGGCACAGTGCAGACATTTGGTATATATTGAGTGGGGACATGTAATACCTCTCTTTCATAGTCTTATGTGCTTCGCTTAGCAATAAATCTTCCATATTCGTCCATTTTCTATCAAATGCCAGGGGCTCATTTTTTTTTTATGGCAAAGTAGTATTGCATAGTGTATACATTGTGCATTTTTTCAGTCCATTCATCTGTTTGTGGACATTGGATTGGTTCCATGTCTTAGCAATTGTGAATAATGCTGCAATGAACATGGGTGTGCAAATAGTTTTTCAGCTGAGTATATTCCTGTCTTTTGGGTAGATACCCAGCAGTGGAATTGCTGGATTTTTTGGCATTTCTTTTATTTGGTATTTATTTGGCATTTACTTATTTTAGTTTTATTAAGTGTTACTATTATTATTTAACTTGACCAGAGAGAGACAAAGAAAGGAAGGGAAAGTGAAAGCCAGCCTCTAGGTCCAGGACTTGGACTGCAGTTAGCCATGTGAGAGTCCATTGCCTTAACCACCATGTCAGCTGCCGTCCCCAGTATGGCAGTTCTGTTGGGTCATCTGGAAAGTCATGATGCATTTTTGCATAGAAAACCAGAAAAATATGTTATGATTGTCCTGACAACATAATATTTGTAGGTCTTTGAGGAATCTCCATATTGTTCTCCACAGTGGCTGTACTAATTTACATGCCCACCAGCAGTGTAGGAGAGTAGGAGAGTTCTTTTTTTCACCACTGCCTCACCTGCACTTATTATTTTCTTAATCTTAGCTATTCTGACTCAGGTCACGTGGTGTCTCATTGTGATTTTGATTTACATCTCCTTTATGATAAGGGATGTTAAGCATTTTTCCATATGCATTTTGGCTGTTCATATGTCTTCCTTAGAGAGTTGTCTGTTCAACTCATTGGCCTATCTTTTAATTGGGTTGATCTTTTTATTGTTTTTTTTTGGGGGGGAGGGTTAAGCCACTTATGTTCCCAGTATATTCTGGTTATCAGTCCCTTATCTGAGGCATAGTTTGCATATATAGTCTCCCATTTTGAGGGTTGCTGATTTACTCTAATTATTGTTTCTTTTGCTGTGCAGTAAATTTTAATCTGATGTACTCTTGCTTTGGGGGTTTTATTTTTTTTTTGGATTTGGGGATTTTTGCCTATGTTTTGGGGGGTCTTGTTTAAGAACTGTTTGCCTTCTCCAGTGTCTCCAAGAATTTCCTCTTGGAGAGTTTTCTTTTTTGTCCACAGGTAGATTAATAGTTTGAGGCCTTAGTTTAGATCTTTGATTCATTTTGAATGGATTTTCTTTAATGGTAAAAGACAGGGGTTCAGTGTCATCTTTCTGCAGGTGAATACCCAGTTACCCATTTTTTCCAACACCATTTGCTAAAGAGATTTTCTTTTCCCCACTGGATTGACTGGTGTCCTTTCTCAAAAATCAGTTGCATAAGTGTTTTGGGGTTTATTTCTGGGGTATCTATCCTGTTCCATTGGTCCACGCCCCTGTTTTTGTGCCACTACCATGCTGTTTGGATTATCACAGCTTTGTAATACCTTCTGGGGTCAAGAAGTGAGATGCCTTCTACTCCAGTCTTTTTTTTTTTTTTTTTGAGAGAGGTTTTTGGTATAGGGCACATGCGCTTGCCAGACAGAGAGACAGAAAGCGAGAAACCACCCCCCTGGAGGGATCGCCACACCGCAATCCCTTCTTCTCCTTTCTTCTCTTGGGATCTTGGGCACGCATGCACACGCGCCCGGTGTGAGTTTTAAGCCACTGGGTCTGGGACGCGAACCGCGGTCAACTATGTGGGAGTCCAGCGACATAGCCATTACACTAACTGCTGGTTCCTCCACTCTTCTTGACAGAATTGTTTTGGCAATATGGAGGTCTTTTATGATTCCAGACAAATTCTGATTTGTTTTTTCTAAATTGGTGAAGAATATCTCTGGTAATTTGATTGGGATTGCATTACATTTGTATATTAATTTGAGTAAGATTGACATTTTGATTATATTCTTCCCATCCAGGAACATGGGATGTCTTTCCAATTTTTTGTGTCATTTTCAATTTCTTTTTATAGTTTTTCATAGTTTTCATTGTAGAGGACTGTCCTGACCTTTTTGGTTAGGTTTATTCCTAAATATTTTATGCTTTTTGTGACTGTTGTAAATAGGATTGCTTTTAACACTTCCAGGAGTTTTTTTTTTAAAGATTCTTTTAGATTTTCTATGTATATAATCATGTTATCTGCAAATAGGGATAATTTGAGTTCTTTTTTTCCCTATTTGAATGACTTTTATTTTATTCTCTTGTCTGATGGCATTGGTTAGGACTTTCAGTACTATTAAAATGTTGAAAAGGATTGGAGAAAGTGAGAAGCCTTGTCTTGTTCCAGTTTTTGTTCCATTCAGTATGATGTTAATAATGGTTTTTCGTATATAGCTTGTACTGTGTTGAGAAATGTTCCTTTTATGCCAGTTTTACTGTGAGTCTTAATCATAAAAGGATGTTGTATTTTATTGAATACTTTTTTTTCTGCATCCTTTGATAGGTTATATACTTATTTTTCTGTTAATAAAGTGTATTACATTTGTGGATTTGCATATGTTGAACCATCCTTGCATCCCTGGAATAAAGCCTACCTGGTCCTGGTGTACTGTTGTAGTCTAATCAGGACGAAATAAGAGGACATTTAGACATAGCCAAATTATAGGAGTTTGTAATAGGCTGGCCGACTGCTGAAGGACTTGTGTCTCTCAAAAACCCCACAGCCCAGAGAGATCTGCTTATAAATGCAAAGGTCACAATAAATTTTGGGTCCACATGGTGATTACAATGGAAAATGAGAAGTGGGTGGAGAGGAAAGGGAGTGAGTTCCTATGTGAAAGCAGTTACAGAAGCTGAATTGGGCAGGTTAATAATTTCTAAGGGCATTGTCCAGACCTTTGTTTAATGGTCCCCATGGCTCCGGGCAGGGATCTGGTGATTGGTAGTTACATTGCTAAGTAGCATCTAAACAAAAAGGTTTCTAGCTAGTTAGCAAAGACAAAAAGACTATTAATCAGTTTATTTACTCTGGGCAAAAGGAAGAAGCAAATACAATGTAAAGTTGAAAGATGGAGGTACTTTTGCATCATTATCTTTTTATTGGGTCTTCAGAAAAGTCTTGTATTTTTCTGTGGTTTTCTTTGTAAAAATGCATCATGACTTTTCCAATGACCCAATAATGTGTCATTGGATATGATTTTCTAGTATCTTTTTGAATTTCTGCATCTATATTCATCAGGGATATTGTTCTGTAGTTTGATTTTTTGTTTGTTTGTTTGTTATGTCTGTCTGTTTTGGGGATGAGGGTGTTGAAGGCTTCATAAAATGAATTTGAGAGGGTTCCTTCCTTTCGGATCTTTAAAACTAGTTTGAGGAGAATGGAGGTTAGCTCTTCTTTAAACGTTTTGTAGAATTCAGAAGTGAAACCATTGGGACCTGGGTTTTTCTTTGTTGGGAGTTTATTACTGATTCAATTTCATTGCTTGTTATTGGTCTATTACGGCTTTCTATGTCTTCTTAGTAGATTGTATGTGTCTTGAAATTTGTTGATCTTATCCAGGTTTTCTTGTCTTTTGGCAAATAGTTGCTCATAGTATTCTCTAATGATCTTTTGTATTTCTGTTATGTCTGTTGTAATATTGCCTGTTTCATTGTGAATTCGATTTACCTGGTTCCTTTCTTAATTAGCCTAGCAAGCAGTGTATCAATTTTGTTTATCTTCTCAAAGAACTGGCTTTTGGTTTCATTTATTTTCTGTATAGTTTGTTTATTCTCTATTTCATTTATTTCTGCACAAATCTTCTTTATTCCTTTTTTTCCTGACATTTTTTGAAGTATTTCATTCTTTTTACCATTCCCTGAGGCATGTTTTCAGGTTGTCTACTTGTCACCTTTCCATTTTTTAATGTTCCCTAATTGCTATGAACGTCCCTCTTATGACTGCTTTTTCTGTGTCCCATAAATTATGGAAACTCATGGACTTGTTATCATCGTTTTCAATGAATCTTTAGATTTCAGTCTTAATTTCTTCAGTGTTTGTGAAATCTTTCAGGAGTAGGTTGTTTAATTTCTATATGCCTGTGTATTTTCGAGATTTTTTTTTTCTGAAATAAACCCCAAGTTTAATTCCATCATAGTTGAATAAGGTGCAGGATATAGATTTTATGCCTTTGAATTTGTAAAGGCTCATTTTGTGCCCTGTCATTTGAGCCCATGCAAGGATTAGAAAAATGTATATTTTGTGATTATTTAGTGGAAGTTCTATAGATGTCTGTCAAGTTCATTTCATTTATGGTGTCATTTAGATCCTGTATCTCTTTGCTTATTTTTTCTCTAGATGATCTGTCCGAAGGGTATTGAGTGGGGTAATGAGTTGCACAATGATTAATGTGTTGCAGTCTCTCTCTCTCACTTTAGATCTGACAGTCTTTCTTTCACATATCTGGGTGCTCCTGAGTTGGGTACATAGCTATACTTATAATTGTTATATCTTCTTGGTGAATTAGTCCTTTTAGTACTAGATAATGTCCTTCTCTGTCTCTTCTTAAAGGTTATTTTGTCTGGTATCAGTGTCACAACTCCAGACTTTTTTTTTTTTCTATTTGCATGGAATATCTTCATGCAACGTCAGCCCTTCACTTTTAGTCTCTGTATGTTTTTGTCTATCAGCAAAGAGATTTTGTCTCCTGCATGTTCAGGCTGCTATTAATACTTTAGAGGGAGGGCTTGATTTCCTGTATTACTGTCTTCACCTCTAAAATTCTAACTGGTTCTTTTTTTATGGTATCTAATTTGTCCTTCAAATCCCAGAAAGAGTTCCTCATTTTTATCACCATTAATATTCTGAATTCTTTTTCTGTGTTCCTGCAAGTGCTTTTGTGCTGTCAGTGGTTGAAGAAGAGTTGCTCTATTCTGTTGAGGGAAAAGTGTTTCCTTGTTTTCCCATATTTCTTGTGCCTCCACACTGGTTTTTATTCATCTGATGTTTTAAACACTTTTTACTACTTTTCTGGTGTCGATTTTAGAGTGTCAGGCGAGAAGAAGAGCTCTACTTCTCAGATGTTTTTTGGTAGAAGGCCTTGTCTTCCAATCTGAGAAGTATTTATTGTCATTTTAGATGTTGATTCATTTCCCAGTCTCTCCAGACCTGGTGCACCTCGGGCTGAGCTGGAGAGGTTGAACAGAAGGGAGTAAGAGTTGCATGTTTCAGGAAACTGAAATTTTAATACTCTTGGGTGGGCAGAAGGCAGCTAGAAGTTTGAGGAATTCTTCCTGCCTTTGTTTGTCTCACTGACTACTGCTGCTCCCTGCTCTGTGGCACAGGTTCAAGGGATTAATGGTGGCAAAGGGATGTGTAAGGGGCCATTTTGAGGGGCCATTTTACTCATTCTTCCCTCCTTTTTTTGCCTTTAGATAAAGAACTATTCCCTTTAAATATTCCAATTATTTTAGACTCTTACTTATATATATATATATTTTTTTTTTTTTTTGTGAGTCAAATGTGATGTCTATATATAAAACATGTATCTGACCAAGAGAATAAAAAGAAATAATACTTGAGCCTAACCATGGTGGCACACAAGTAGCACCACTGCTTGGTAAACTGGAAGCCACAGGGGAGGGCCGAGTTCTGATCCCAGGACTACCTGAACATGCCAGATATGTTTGCATACACTTAGAATCCTTGTTAATTGAGTTACTGGGGCAGGAGGATCACAACACAGGAGTCATTGTCATAGATGCCTTTTCCTATCATTTCCCCTTTCCTTCTCTCTCTCTCATAAAAGAAAAAGCAAAGATTAAAAAAAAAAAAAACTTTAAATTTTGTACCATGTTTCTTCTAATGTTCCTTTCCACAAAATTTGAACTTCAACATATATTCTTATTTTTGCTAGTATTTTTGAAACTGCAGAATATGTTGCTTTGAAATGTTCAAATAGTTTTCTTTGTTACTTTAATAATATATTTGGTTTTGCTAAAAATAAATGAATGAATATACACATATGGAGTAGATAAACAAAACAACTCTATACACACACACACACACACACGTATACCATAGAATAAGAATATGTCAATATCATTAATGAATATATTTTTCCATTGACTTTATCTTTATTCTGAAAAACGTATGTTGTTGACAGCAGAGCGCCAGAACATCTTCCATGCACCTTGTGGTATCAGCCTTTAGTTCATAGTGATGCAGTTTATAGCATTCCATAACAGTTGAGGAAGACCTTTGTTACATAAAGGGACACTTTGGGGGAATAAGTAGCTTATTCATTTTGTTATAAACACTTTCAATTGGAAAACTATATACATACATACATATATATCTATTGTTCTTACTTTTTCAGGGAATGTGTGGCAGTAGAAGTGCTGATAACTTGTCATACCCTTCTCCATTGAATGTAATGGAACCAGTAAGCCTCTCTCCTCTTAAATCACTGGGGAAGGGAATGATTAAATGTTCATAAACACAGTTTTCCTAGTGTAGATTAAATGTATGTTTATTTGTTTTAAATACAGAATTTGATAAGTTAGTTAAACTGATAGGAAGTGAATTTAACACTTGGGATGTTCATTGGTATCTTAGGCCAGTAGAAAGCCAGTTTAATTGTACTAGTGATTTATCTTGATCACCTAAAGGAGAAAACGTCCTGTAAAATATATTCATTTATGGGGAAAATGAGCTTTCGTGGTCTGCTCCTAGGTCTTTTAGGTAGCTGGATCTGTAAAATGACTACATTTGAACAAAAGACTTAAATTTTACTGAGTTTTAGACAAATTTGATCATTTGGGGACAAAGCCTTTCTGCGTATTTTGTTTTCACTAGTTACTCTTCCTTACAAGTAATTTGTATATACCTATGTGATAAATAAAATTTAATCCCACTGTATCAACCAGACAATGAAATAAACCATTTTATTGCTTGATCTCAATATGAATTTAAATTTTCTCTGCCACTTTTGTGAATTAAATAAAATAATTACTGAATTAATGAAATTGAATGTATCTTCACAAGTTATGTGATTTGGGGCAGTAATCAGAGCTAGGTTTTTAATCTTCTTTTTAACTACCAATCTTAATTTGAAGAGAAAGTTATAATTGCTTTTTCATCTCCAGGTCACTGAACTGATGCGAGAACAGTCATACCTGAAGTCTGAATTGGGCCTGGGACTTGGAGAAATGGGATTTGAAATCCCCCCCGGAGAAAGCTCAGAATCAGTTTTCTCCCAAGCGACCTCAGAGTCATCTTCTGTATGTTCTGGTCCTTCTCACGCTAATAGAAGAACTGGAGTACCTTCTAGTGACACAGTGGGCAAACCCAAACCCCAGTTAATGGCAAATAAAAAAATATTCCGAGCGTCGGTGGCCCTTACACCAACTGCTCCTTCTAGAACAGGCTCTGTGCAGACACCCCCCGATTTGGAAAGTTCTGAGGAGGTTGGAACAGTTGAAGAATTCTCAGAGGTTGTAGGATCTAAACCCGAAGTGGAAGAAGGGCCTGGGAAACGCCCATCGGTGCCAGCTACTGAGGAAATACATAAAAATGTGGAGCAAGATGAATTGCAGCAAGTCATACGAGAGGTGGGTAAAACCTGTCCTTCATTTATTTGAGATAGTACTAGAAGAAGTTTATTTGAACATTAATTATTTATAAGATATTCTTTTCATTTACTCTATTCAGTAACTTCAGAGCTTTTAAATAAGCTTTCCCACTGATCCAGTTTGTATCTGCAAAGGGTATGTTTTAAAGGCATTTCTGCACATTTTACCTTTTAGTGTAAAATAATTGCAATTCTGTATGTTCACTCTGGCATCAAAGGTGTTTGTAGATTTTGAAATAGGTAAGCATGCGACAGACTCTTCTAGCCCTTTTGTTTCCATGCCTGTAAAATAAAAAATTATAATTTAGATCTCTTCCAGGATTAAAAGTTCTAATTTTATCATTTCAATTGTCACAAGAAAACAGTATCAGGATTTTTTTAAAGGAATTATTTATTTAATTTTATTTGCTGTTGTTATTTTTTAATTTGACCAAAGAGAGACAGAGAGATAGAAAGGGAAAGTGAGAAAGCAAGCCACCAACCCCAGGAATTGAACCACGGTTGGCTATGTGGAAGTCTGGCACCTTAACCACTACACAACCCCCAGCCCTGGGTGTTATGATTTTAATAAGTATGATCATTTTATCTGTTTGGTTTGGTGGATAGAAAAGTATGGAAATTATATGCGTTATTCAGATTATATGGATGTGAAGAGAGGGTTCACCCTGGATGATAGTGCAAGAACCTGAAATATTAACCAGAGTTCTAGATTCCCAAAGGTAGTGCAGAAAATAAGGAAGGTTAATAGTCAAAGACCAGTGGTTAATGAACAAAATTATTAAAATAAACATTTTTAAACATTGAAATCAGGTAATCCAAAGGGACAGTTTACAGGCTCAGTATACTTTTTATGAAATTCTTGGGAGTGTTTTGAGTTTTAGATTTTTTTTGGATTCAGGAATATTTGCATATTCTTTTTTTTTTTTTTTAATAGAGATTTTTGCTATAGGGCACTATGCACTCTCCCGAGAGAGACAGAAGAGACAGAAAGTGAGAAATTACCCTTCAGGGAGGATGGCCACACCGCTGTCCCTTCTCTGTTCTCCTTTTGGGACTCTGGGCGTGCATGGACACATGTTAGATGTGGGCTTCAGGTCACTGGTTCTGGGTCTTGAACCATGGTTAGCCATGTAGGAGTCCACCAACATAACCATTATGCCATCTGCTGGTCCTGGGAATATTTGCATATTCTTAATGACATATTTGGAGGATTGGACCCAAGTCTAAACACAAAGTTCATTTATGTTTCATACATACCTTATGCTCATGCTCTAATTTTATATTTTTCTATTGAAGCATTTTGGCCATGAACATCATATGGGTTCAGACGTAGAATTTTTCAGTTGTAGCATCTTGCTGATGCTCAAAGTGTTTTGGAAATTTGGGCAATTTCAATTTTGAATTTTTGGATTAGGGGTGCTCAACATGTATATCATTTAAAAAGGGAGAAGATTTGGATATAGTTCTATGATGGCTTTATTTTTCTTTCCTTTTCAAATTGTCCTTGTTGCAAAATTTAGGAACTTGCACAGGATAAAAATTACATGTTGAAAATATTTTTTTCCATTCTATTTGCTTAAGAACTCTTGAAAATAAGATAAAGAACCATAGTTGTTCATAGTTCTTTCTAGTTGAGGTACTAAACTTCATGATGGGAAATAATATTTCATTCTTTCTGTTGGTTAAAAAGAATATTCTATGAAAACAATCCTTAAAAATATCTGAGTATCTGCTCTATAAATGATAAAAGAAAAATATGTATAAGACATGATGAAATCCTATGTTTAGAATCTGATAGGAAGTAAACAAAGCTCACTTGAGAGACAATTAAAAAATTGCACAGGAAAGTATTTAGTATAAAGTATTCAGGAACTAAGAATTTAGGGAAGATTAAAGTGAACCAGAGAAATTAGGGTCATTGACTCCCTATTTTTAAACTGCGTATTTCCAGTAAATTCAGCAATGTGAACCTAATGTATTTTTTAAAATTAATTTGTAATGTAGAACAAATTTCTAGTGGTTATAGGTCAGGAATTTCTAGTGATTATAGAGATCTCCCCTCAAATGGGCCTTTGATCCTTGGTTAAGAGATTAGTTCATGTACATTATTAGGCGCCATCGTTTAGAGCTGCACTGTAGTAGCTTGAAAAGACTTAAACATAAATATAGGGCCAAATGGTGGTATAGTGGTAACATAGCTCTCTGTGATACTGAATCTATATGGGCATGTCCTGGATTCATGTCCTGAGACCTCCCTGTACATGCCTGTGATTCTGGCTGCCTAAGGTGTGAATTGTGCTATGAAGACCTAGTAACGGGTGCTTCTCTCTCTCTCTCTGTTTCTCTCCCTCTTTCTTTTCTAAGAAATCAAGAAAGTGAGGGGAAAAGACAGGTGGAAGGAAGGAAAGAAGGAATAGAGTCAGCTCTAGCTGTGGCAGTTAGTTCAGTCCTGCTGTGCAATGTGGGACCCATGTGGGAGACCTGAGTCCAGATCTGGGGTTGATGTCTTTGTGCCAAGCAAGAGTGTGTGTGCCTGTGATCCTGGCTGGTTGAGAGCCTAGAGGGTGGGGAGGTCTGCAGTACAGTGAGACCCTGTGTGGGATACTTGTCTCTTTCTCCCTCACTCTCAGGATATAAATAAAACAAAACTGAATATATATGTGTATATGTATTTTTCATATAGATGTGTGTTTATTTATATGCAATAAATACAGTCTGTTCTACTGTAATATGTGTTCCTGAAAAGTTTGTGTCAGGCAAACATACAATAAAAACCACAGGGCTTACAGAGATAATAGGATTAGAGGCATAACACTCAAAAGCTCATCAATGATGTATTAAAAAGACAGCAGATAGAAACTGAATAAAAACAGTAGCAGTTTTGCCCATGTTAATTGGTTAAGAAATAAAAAATATACTACAAAAAATGTGGTACTTTACCTTTAAAAATACTTGAAATTTGCTTATGGTATTGGGCACTGGAAGCATCGTAACTTGGAGTTACTTGAAGGGGTGGAAGGAGAGTGATGAGATGTCTGACAGAAGGTTCTAATAGCCTAATGTGCTAGCTGTGCCTCATAACATATGGAGAACTGAGATAGCTCGTAGGTGTTTAAGGTATGTATGTTTGTGTACTGCGTTCTGAGGTTGAGCTGAATGCAATTATTTGTGTTCACATGTGGGTCAAATTTGCATATAAGCAAACATGAAATTTGCATTATGTTTAAGGTGTTGCCTCGTATTTCATTCATGTTGAAGCATATTCTTATTTTCAAAATAAGCATTATAGCAGAGGACTTCATTTCTGTAATTTATTTCCATGACATGAATCTACCACCTCAGAGTTTATAAGGTCTTAATTTTCTACATTTATTATTCCTACAGGCGTAATTATTTTTGTAAGTTGTTTGTGGCTTGCTAATGTTTAGCAGACTCTGAACATCCACCCTACCTGGTTAGGTGTATCTGTCATTAGATTCATTGTATTTATTTGTTTTATATCAAACATAATTTTCGAGTGACATTAAGTAATTATGCTTCACACTTCATTGGCTAACTGAAATATGGTTTCTTTTTCCTTTATGGGAGAAAGAGGAGAGGAAGGAGGAAAGAGGGAAAGA